AGCAAGGGTTTTGGGGAGGATCAAAAGTTTCAGATTAAGTGTAAGAGCTAATGGAATAGAATCATAGAATCATTTAGGTTAGAAAAGACCTTTAAGATCATCAACTCTAACCATAAACCTAACACTGCTAAGTCCACCGATGTCAGGGAGAAGAGAAAATCCGATTGTAGTAGTTTTTACCAAGTTTAGTAGAATAAAAAGTTATATTCCTGGTTGGTTTTGGATTTGTTTATAAATTTTGTCCCAGCTGAAGTCCTGTATCCTTCCGAAAAGATGGTCAGTGCCCCTAGTTGCTTTGTTTCTGGTTGATATGTTATCCCAACCTGTAACTCCTTCCTGGCAGTGTCTGGGTGCTAGCAAAGGAGATGGGTTCAGGTTGTACTTCCGTAAGTAGTTTTGCTGTTGCACACTGGGCAGGTGAACCAAGGCAAACAATTGACTATGCAGTCAGATGCCTTTTTGGGAGCGGAACCCCTTCAGTTCTAGTGGCTGGTGGGGGGAAGTGGGGAAGAAGAGGAGAAGGCCAAATTAAATATTAAACTGTGTTGAAAATATTTTAATGCTTGGTAGAGTTGAGTTTCTTACTTTGTTTCTGATAATTTTGCCAAGTGTTTTCCCCATTTTTTAATAGAAACTTCCAGCCTTTTCGTAATATCTTTTGGGATCTTCAAATTTTCTGGTGTTGTCGAAGAAGAGAGACCAAAATAATGCCGTTGTATTAGATAATTAATTAAATAAAATTCTTCTAAGATGACATTATTTCTAATTAGCATTTCCAAATTATTCATCTAACAGAGAACATTCATCTATTGAGGGCATTAATCCATATTAACACTGAAATCATGACATAGAGAAAGTCTGAGACTTAGACCTTTAAACTTGCAATAAAATGGAGAAATCATTAACTACATTAAGGAGTTTGAACCTATATTAACTTTTATATGACATTTCTTTTTGTCCTTTTTATAGAATTTTATGATGATTTTCACAGAGAGTGATAGTTGTCAGGAGAACCTGCAGTTATTTTAAAGATGTAATATTTATTTGGTCCGTAAACAAAGCCTCTATTCTGTAGTTACGGTGGTGAAGGAAAAACTGTGCACTATGGGGAGCTTTGTTTAACTTTCCAAATATCTGAGCACTGCAAAGGATTATTTCTCTATAGCCACCCATAGGAACAGGTACTGAGAGTGAATTCTGTTAATATAAAATTAAGGATCATATTGATAATGTTTTGAACAAATTAATCGTAAGAACCGTATGCTAGTTAGGTTCTCCTTCCCCTTTGGGAGTCAGTTAAATGCACTTCTGAAACTAATTCTTTTCCACTGCAACAAAAACCTGTAAAGTTGTTGAGAATGCAGGAGTAGTCTTAGAGTGAAAACATGAGAGTGACACGAGAGGGAGCAGCCTTTGACTTTTTTCTGTGGTGGACATGCTTTGCTCCCCACTTTGGAGCATTGGGCAGTGCTTAATGGGATGAAATTTAACAAGTGCAAATGCTGGGTTCTGCACCTAGGGTGCAGTGACGCTGGGCACAAGTCTAAACTGGGAGAGGAGTGGCTGGAGAGCAGCCCTGCAGAACGGGACCTGGGGGTGCCAGTGGGCAGCAGGCTCAGTGTGAGGCAGCAGTGTGCCCTGGCAGCCCAGAGAGCAAACCGCACCCTGGGGTGGATCAAACACAGCGAAACCGCCTGGTCAAGAGAGGTGATGATCCTGCTGTATCCAGCGTTGGTGCAGCCTCACCTTGAACACTGGGTGCAGTGCTGGGCCCCACGGTGCAAGAAGGGTGTGAAGGTCCTTGAATGCATCCGGAGGAGGGCAACACAGCTGGTGACAAGGCTGGAAGGGATGTCCTGTGAGGAGCGGCTGAGGGCTTTGGGCTTGTCTAGTTTGGAGAGAAGGAGGCTGAGGGGGAACCTCATTGCTCTCTCCAGCCTCCTGAGGAGGGGAAGGGGAGAGGGATGCGCTGAGCTCTTCTCCCTGGGATCCAGTGAC